CCTGCCACGAAATCTGCACATGGAGGTTCACAAAGTGCTGTGCCTGCAACGAAATCTGCACCTCGAGGTTCACAAAGTGCTGTGCATGCCACGAAATCTGCACATGGAGGTTCACAAAGTGCTGTGTCTGCCACGAAATCTGCACATGGAGGTTCACAAAGTGCTGCACCTGCCACGAAATCTGCGCATGGAGGTTTACAAAGTGCTGTGCCTGCCACGAAGTCTGCCCACGGAGGTTCACAAAGTGCTGCGCCTGCCCCGAAATCTGCACATGGAGGAATGCAAAGTGCTGTGCCTGCCATGAGATCTGCACTTCAAGAAACAAGTGAAAACTAGGGACGGAATCGTTCCGCGGAGCTTCCCCGTCGAGGTTTGGAGAAGCATGGAGGTTCACAAAGTACATTGAGGTTCACAAAGTACTGCGCCTGCCACGCAATCTGCGCATCGAGGCCCACAAAGTGCTGTGCCTGCCACGAAATCTGCGCATAGAGGTTCACAAAGGGCTGCACCTGCCACGAAATCTGCACATGGAGGTTCACAAAGTGCTGTGCCTTCCACGAAATCTGCACCTCGAGCTTCACAAAGTGCTGCACCTGCCACGAATTCTGCACATGGAGGTTTGAAACTAGAGCTAACTGGAGCTAAAGCTATTGAAACTAGAGCTACCTGGAGCTAGAGCTATTGAAACTAGAGCTACCTGGAGCTAGAGCTCTTGAAACTACAGCTAACTGGAGCTAGAGCTCTTGAAACTAGAGCTAACTGGAGCTAGAGCTCTTGAAGAGCTACCTGGATGATGAGTGGTGTATGATGAGTGGTGTATGATGAGTGGTGTATTGAACAGCTGTTGAATGTCCAGTGGCGTATGATGAGTGGTGTATTGAACAGCTGTTGAATGTCCGTAACACGGAAGTTTTGCACACTAAACTTCCTTTGAATATGTGTGAACATGAGAGGTTATATGTAAATGTTGTCTAGTTTGACCTAATTAGTACCAAACCCAAATGGTGATCTTCTGATTGGGAGAATAAGGGGAGATAGGTTTTCCTTGGAAGCAAATCGTCCAAGTTCTCTCAATATCTCTCAATGTTCAGCTCTAAGCTCTGCTTTCTTCGTTTTTCTTAATTGAATGATCAAAGTTGTCCTAATATATTTGGACTGTCTGCGTGGTAGATTGTTGCTCGCTCCCAAAACACACAAATCGCATCGTGGCTCGGGGGCTGCGGAGATAACCAACAGAAAATCGTGGTCGCAGATGTTCGGGAGAGGGTTCTCTGTACTGCCTTTACTACAACCCGTACTCCGTCTACAGTAATCCTGGTTTGCCCCGACATGAAAACTCAATTTGTTATCCACTCGGCTCTGGGTATTGGTCACAAATGGATTAAATTGTTCTTGTGGCTTTGTGGAGTTGTGGGGAGAACAAACACTCTCGCTACTGCAGAAGGATCTGTGCACAGGCACGACCAGTCTGCAATCAAATTGATGACCTGATGACCTTGCGATCTGTTTCCATTAAACCCCAAACAGCGTTCAGAACAAACTGCGTTGAGAATGGAGCTGGGGATTTCATGACGGCCTGATGTTATTTGTCCGCTTCTTTGCTCCTGTGAACAAGTTGGGGCGGGGCCTTATTTTTAGCCACACGGTGCCCATTTAGATTTGGAAAACGTGTTTCAGCAAACGTTGAGTGCAAATGTTTCAGCAAACGTTGCCTTCCTAACATCTGTAATGTCAAGAGACTTGGATACTATCCGGAGAAATCATGAATACACACACATATGCAGTACTTGCCCAAAATGTCTTGCACTCCGTCTCTTCCAGTGTGCATTCACAAATCAATCTCCAACCGGTCATAAATAGCACTGGCACAAACCCCCAAAAAAACAATTTCAGAGCTCCGTGTCCGGAATCTGCCATCGGTTTCAATTGTTCAGCCAATGGTATTTCAACATGAAACATGGAAGAGCAAACCCAACATTCCAACCAATGGTTGTTGCAGCTTTGGCCCGAAGTAGGCAGTGTCTAACCACAGCCAAGGGTAGATCATCGCACATGAAATATATTGTAAATATCATAATAAGCTCATGGATCGCAGGAAGACGCTACAGGAAAACCAAGAAGCAACTACCCTGTATAACATGTCTTGTAAGTATACAGCTTCCAATTTCGCATCTGCAGAGCTATACGTCTCTACGGCTATTCTCTATGTCTACAGCATCTGATCTCCGCGCGGGCCCGAGCATAGCATCCCACCAGGCGGTCCGAGCCGTGTCAAGGGGTCCCTCCTCTTGATTCCGCCCACCAAAAGCATAAAGCCTCGGTGCGAGGACGGCGAGGGGCCCCGGGGCACCTCCGACCAAAACCGCAAGGGGTCCACGGCGGCAGCCATGCGTCTCAGCTTCATGGATGTTTGGTACGTGAAAAGCATTTAAACTCCTTGTTTTTAATGGACATTGAAGTCAATGTCCTACCGTTCCAAAGGGTTTTACTCTGAAATCCCGGAGGAATAGTGGGGGTAGGAAATGCCCTGACACCCTGACAAAATGCTCCTGGATGCTCGAGGTATGTTTGAGTCCATTCTTTAGTTCCTCTTCCTGGGTGGACAAATTTGTCAGGTTTGTTGCCCATTATACAGCCATGTCCATCCAACCAAATAGTTTACACGGCCCTTCTTCTTTTGATTCTCACAAACAATACAGTACTTGCGCGTAAAACACGCTGCCGCATTGATGGGTCATCCCATCGCACCAATTCTCAACTATTTTCAGGTTAACTAGGCATACACAATGGTTCTAGGTAGGTCAACCGCATAGCCAAGGGATGACTCCAGTGACTTAAGAGTGATGTCACCTCCGCCATTCTTGACTTCCAGCAGTCTGTGGGGTCTCCGACGGGGAGCTAGCTTCAACAACCACAAACACGTTCTGCTCAGTGCACATGTTAAAAAAGACACAACTCAAATGCGTTGCATGCAAATTGCACCCTGGATGTGCAACTTTCTATCTATCATGGTTTATATCTTGTCTTTTTTTGCCTCTGGCTCATCGTCAGTACACTCATGTGAAGTATGGCTTTCGGTCCTTCTACGCAGCCAATGATGACGGGAATTGAGGTTCCGGGCATGTTCGGTAGGAGGCTCTCAAAGCGCAGGAATGGGCCAATGGCCTAGCCGGAAAGCAGAACACCAGGTACGCAGGCTAGCTTTTGAGTGAAAAACAACACGCTTTTGAAGGAATGTGAAAGCAAGTTGATCCTCATCCAACATCATCCAACACAGTCTTTGCCCTCAACTTTTAACCCCAATGAACTTTACAAACTGTTCGGAACCATATAGCTCATCTTCCCTTTGCAAAATGACTTCCGGATTTTGTTTTCCTTTTGATGTCCTGCTCACGGAATTCAACAACAGCAATTACATTTCGTGTCCTTTTGTTTTCTTAAACATTGACAAAAGGTCTTTCTTTTCATGTCAACTGCTGTTGTTTCTAATGTTTCCTTTTACAAACAATTCAGCAGAAGGGCTTACTTCCAAAAGTCCTTTAGTTTCTTTTCTTGAGCAATTGCTCGACTGGTCCCGCTGGAGCTGTATTTTGGGGCGACGAAACCCAAAAAAACGCAAAGGCCATCTAAGAACTGTGGACCATTAGCTTTCGGAAATGTGCAATTCGTAGATGTGTTGCAAAGTAAATAGCTGTTGCCTTTCGAGAAGCCAGGGGTATGGTGCCCGCATGTTTTCCATACTTGAAAGCCTGTGTGAAGCTGCAGGAAATGGTTTGGCATGGAGCTGGTACATATATTCCCATGGTTGTTATGATTCCTTTGTCATACCTCTAGCCGAAGAGCTGGTCCTGCTACTTTGCGTCCAGAATCCTTCTGAAGTCCTTCTTGAAAATAGGTGTTGACAACACTGCATGTGTTCACTCAAGCTTTTATTTCTGCACCAAGATGTTGGCTCAATTTACACCATCCAGAATCATTCAGTTTACTGAATAAACTTAGACTAATAAAACGGCAAACTGACTCACCACAACATGCTATACAAGTGCGGCTTTGCCAACACTCCTTTTGGCTATGTGCCCTTCTAAGTCACTACAAGAAAACAAAACATGTTTCAGGTTCAGAAAACCTCAGTGTCTAACGATCAAACATTCACAAACAGCAGGAAATAAATGGAAGCAATAGGATGTCTGACTTCAAAACATAGCCAAAACAAGGATGTCTGACCAAAGGAATCGTGGTGGTAGTGGTGGCTGAAAATGGTCGATAACTACAGTGCACCACAATGTGTACCAGGCGTACCATTTATCATACGTAAATCAAACCAAATTACAATTCACAATTTAATAATGTCCTATATGTTTGTATCAGTTATTTGTTGAGATCATATTGCTCTCCAAAGGTGAGCGTAACTAGTACAGCACCGAAACTTTGCAACGTGGACACCATTTTTTAAGCGTTCCAATTTCAAAGTCAAACCGAGCATGTGTGCTCTCACTGGAGAAATTGTTTTACCAATTTGTGAAACAACAACTCTACCATTCGGATCAGCTTCTTCTATGTCACTTTGACAAACTTTGCAGAATTGATACGGGTTAAACATGCTTAAATGTTTACCTGTAGCATGTAACCCAACCTCCTCAAGGTGCTTCACACGTCCAACAGATTCCCTCCGTGTTTCCATGGACATCCACATCCCTTCCTCCAACCTCGCCCCGGACGCCTCCCTGTAGAGGAAGGGCGGCAGTGGCTTCCGCCGCCGAAGGCCTGCGCCGGCGTCGCAGGTGCTGCCAATTCGCCTGGCGACGAGCAGATCATCCAGAAAGATCGACAAATCCATCGCACAAAAATCGCCGTGAGGAATTGCAAAAGAAAACTTGACACCTCCAAAGAAATCATCAGAAACTACTACCTGTAGAATTTGAGCCAGTTTTGAACGGGGTAAATGATAATCGCTGGGGGCAGACAAGAACCTCACCCCGGTGTGCCAAAGAACGGTTGCTTCCGTGGTGGCGTTCGTTGCACCCCAGCAATGATCATTGGATGCCTGGAGCAAACTTGCAAAGCAGCGAAACATCTTCTATGTATTAGTCGAACACTAAATAGAAATGGGTTGGAGACGCGCCAACAACATAATATATAGTATATAGTAAGCATATCCTTGAGGCATTGGATGGTAGGTGGATGTTATCGTATTAATAATAAAGTAACATAAACAACAAATAAGTGGCCAACATCAAACAACAGCCCATGGATGGACCAACGATGGACACTGTTAATTGGAGGGAGGGGTACCGGTGCCGGAATTATGGAGAATTCCTGTGATGTGTGTCGCATACCCCACTCCACTTGCCCCACTTCTTAAGAGCATCGTGCCACCTGCCTGTCATCTAGGATCAACTGGCCTTGGACAGGAAGAGATCTACCGTGTCTACGGGCTTCCAGCGGGTCCCTGATATATATAAAAATGATCATGCAGTTTCATTTGGAGTGGATTTTTTGCATCACAGTTCCAGCAATGTGAAATGAAGTGAAGCAAACTTTAACACCTAACAAATACTTGTAGCAAATCTTCTTTGTTGGACAGCCTGTGGTTTTCTTGTTTAATTGTTGTTCCATCGCATCAATATCATCCATATGTTGTCCTCTTTCATGTATCCCTTCGAAACAAGTACATGCTGCATTCCAATACTGCCTTGTTCAGGACAGCCCCCTTACACATCATCCTTCTGTCAATGGTATGGCAGTTTGTGGTCTGGGTCAGCCACTTTCTTTCTAGGAATCTGTATCATACAACAGTTCCCAGTGACTGGTGACCACTGCAACTGAACAAATAATGTTTTTCTTACTGTTGTCAAGCGAAACAGTATTTACATGTACTTACAGATTTGCAGAATGAAGCCAGAAGCTTCACACAATAAACACAATCCAAACAGTAATTACACAGCGCCAACCACAGTCAGTGACTTCAGACTTGCTGTTGTTTTTTTTTCATGTTGCGCTGGGATGTTTTGACTGACCTGCTTTGCGACCGAGTCACCGTCAGTCTTATTAGCTTAAACATTGCTACTTTGGCAGGTGGGAAGTCACCACAAGGTAACAATCCAAAAGGAAAAAAACACCTTGGGCCTTGGGTAGCCAATTTGGAGATTTGTGGCGTCTTCACATCGCTATCATAGCCGACCTCTTCACCACCAGAACCCCTGGCTGGACGATGGACCCAATCCCCACGTCCAACGTGACACGATGTCCAAGGGACACAGCGCGTTGCATGCATTCCCATCAACCCACTTCGAGGGCCGTGCCTGGCACCGGTCGTCGATGAAAGCTGCAATGGTTTCTTGAATGGGACTTCAAGAGTGAGACTTCATCGGCAGAAAAGATATACAGCGCCACATGACAAATTTTATGCATGACCTATCCATTTGGTAGCACCAGAATGCACAAAGCACCACTCTTTTTGATTTAAGATAAAGGGCCGTAATTTAAACACACATAATTTTAAGCCGTGCTTAGGGTCTCCGACATGAGGATTATTTGTTTGGGCAGCGTTTTTAAATATAGGTGCTTGGGATTGAGTCGACGAAAGATGCTACCAAACTAAACTACCAACATGGTCGATTTTAGTGAGTTAGGTTCCAAAATCGACCATGTTGCTGTTGCTGACCCTGGTTTCTGACCCAGGTTGTCCCTCCACTGGCTGCCTGCGCCTCTCTCGTTTCAACTGTGTAGCGGGCTGTCTGGCTGTCTGTCTGGCTCGGCAGGTTGATATTATCCTCTTGCCCCAATCCTACAAAAATGCCGCGGCTTTATATATGTTTATAATTTTTTATATTACATACTTCACCTTGGCTACACTAAAGGTGATCTTAGAGGATATCAACCTGCCCTGCCTTGTCTCTCTAGCTGCCTAGTCTGCCTGGCGCCTGACTCTACTGCCACGAAATCTGCACTTCAATTTCAAGGTTCACAAAGTACTGCGCCGGCGCCTGCCACGAAATCTGCACTTCCTATTTAGATCTATTCAATATTGGTTATTCAAAACAAGAATCGTCCAACTGACCCTGTTTTACCACCCACTTTGCCGGGACCCCCTATCAAAACAAGGCGAGGACCCTCTTGTTTTTTTATGTTCCTTTTTGAATGGTGGAAGGGACGGATATCTTTGGACCCCCTTTCACCGATGTCAAGGCCCGCAGCACTCGACACGGTGACCACGCTTCGGCACGGTCGAGCCGACGGTTGAGAGATCCGTATACGAGGAACGTGGATGGCGAACAGGGACGGAGAAGAGACCACTGACTGGGGCAATCTGATGACTGGAGGATATCACGATGTACTCCAGGCCAGTAGTATTCCCATGATCTTCCCCCGAACATCACAACATCCAAACTGTTTCCACTTCTCAGTTCGAGATTCTGGCAGGATAGCCTTTATCCGCTTTATCTTTATCATCCTTTATCTACTCACACAGTCTTCTACAAGCGGCCTTGGTGCATGTGGAAGATGCTGCGGGAGTACAAGCCATTGCTGCCTGCGCCGAGAACTGCCAAAACACAAACACCCGTTGTACAAAGAAGAAATTGAACTGTCGGAATGGGGGAGTGTGTGGATAGTACGTCTGCTGGCCTAGTCTTTAATTCAAGTACATCATGGCTGGGGACAGGAATCTGTATGATTTTGGTAGACATAGAAATATATGCAGGACTTGGCCGGGGCCCGCGGTATTGCTGTGCCCAACTCAAACATAATTCTTCTGAAGCTATCTGTGGTTGCATGCAACAAACCACACACCAACCAACCCAACCCAACTCAACTCAATCACAAGAAGCAGTAAAATATGGTGAAGCAGTGAAGGAAAGATTCAGCTTGGTTTCGATCACCCGATCAACCGCTTGGCCTCGTTGAAAAGGGCTCGACCACGCCGGAGAGCCGGAGAAGTCGGCGGAGGAGTCGAAATCGAGAAAGGTCCAGGACGATGAGCTTCCCAAAGAGCAACGACACTTATGTTAACCATCATAGTTAAACCAGAGTCTTGATCAGTCTTAATCCAATTCCCACCTTCCCCACCAGTTCGGAGCTAAAACCAGGTCACCCTGATCTCGCCCAGAAAGGCTACACCATCTAGGTCCCAGACACTCAATGGGACTGACATCGTTGCCGATCAGTTGGGTAGTTTGGGGGGTCAATGTAGGTATATGGCATATATTGCAAAAAAGAGTGTCTGGGGCCTGGGGGGTAATTTCAGAATCGAATGAGTCAACCTTCGCAATGGCGGGGATCCACTGGCACCACAAAGGGAAGAAAAAATATAAGTTCCCACACCACGGAACCACGGTTCTCGCCCGCGATTCATTGCATTCATGGCATTCAGTCAGTGAAGATTGTTGGGGATGGGTCAAGATTGTCAAAACCTGGAGCCCGGGTCCCCCATGTAGCTTGACCTGGCTGGTAGGTTAACCCAACCCAATTTCAGTCCAAAATGCCATTAATCGGTATGTCTCTGATCTTCATTGTAAGCCGCCATTCCACCCTGATAGCCTAGTTCCTATGCAGTTTGTACATCCCATTTTTCTCGTCGTTGACGCGATTCCTCTCACGTGTGAGCAGTGCTTTTTGTACCGACGTAATCTTCGCAACAACATGTTGACAAAAAATGGTGATCTTGATGCTGTGCCGATACCCCCTGCACCTAATTAGGCCGACTAACCTTCTTGTTGTGACTTGTTCTATCCAGCTTGGCATTGCGCGGATATTCGGTTTCACAGGGTTTGTCGTGAACTTGTACAGAGTAATTACTTCGCATGTTTCCATCTTTGTTTACATACCAGTACTCGCCAGAACCCACCACAAGGTGAAGGTCTGTGGGAAGCGTCAGACTCGAGCGCAAGTGATGTCGGTAGGTTAACCAATTAAAGCAGCAGTCCAAAAAACAGGAAGACCAACGTGCTCATGATTCTTCACAAGATTGGGGAACGATTTACCGTGTTCGTGATAACTATACACATTGTTTCTGAACCACGTGTTCAATTTCAGCCTGATATATACATCCCAAATTTGTTGTCGCTTGCCTTTGGGGAAACCAATACGCAGAATTATAGTCATGAAGTTTTTGGCTTCCTTGAAGTGGCCTGATCCTGACCAACCTGTTGAACATTCAGTGGCTAAGGAAGGTATTAGATGGTACGAGTTGACTATTGCCTTTATTGTAAATACGGGTCTCCAGCTCCCTACTTGGATACGCCTTAAAGAGGGACAAAGGGCCCGCCCCCATCATTGGCAAGATCCCAAAGTTCTTGCCCTACCTGCTGTGAAGCGATCACTGAGGGAACAGTCAGAAGCCTTGCGTATTATTGCGCTGTACAAACAGGGTTTGTCTAGTGGGCCTCTGCTCCCAAAGCATTCCAAGACGGGCTCGGCTAGTCTTACCGAAATTGGCTGGGGAAGAACCTATACTGGCGGGTTTCCACTCCGTCCTCAGGTTCCTAACTCTGATGCGGTGAAGAAAACCCTGAAAGAATATGTCACTAATCTGCAGTGCAAACCACCGTATCACCCGGATGGCCTAGTTCCCATGTCCTATGTAGGACCGATCTTTCAGGCCATTCCACCCCAGCCATTGAGTTATGAGCAGTGCTTTCTTTATAGACGACGTAATCTTTGTAAAGCGTGAGCTCGCAATATGGATCTTGATACGGTTCCGATTCCCCCGGCACCCAATCAGATTGCTTGCCAATTCAAACGTTTTCTTGACATTGCTCACCTACTTGCTGCGCGGATATTCGGTGTCACGTAGTTAGGATCATGTCATTTTGTACAGATATGTTGCATGTGCAGTGGTTACATACCCAGACTCCCTCGTACCCACCATTGGTGAAGGACCGAGGGAAGCGCCAGACTGGATGCGCAAGTTGTGGCAGCAGTCACGGCTCGCAAAACAGACAATCATGAACATCAACAGCTCTTTGCCAGTGTTGATGCATGGAATCAATCTCAAATTCACCAATGCAGGAAGGTTCTGCGTTATCTTCATGATCTCAACATTGCGCATGTACAGCAAAAAGAGCAGGCAAAATCCAGGGATGAGCACAACCAAAATGACGATCCAGATCAGAATTGGGGAACCATTCACCAGGCACGTGCACATCATCAGGTTGCACATCCAATTGCACTCACCCAACCTGACATCCATCCTCATGTGTTCACCGCCTGTCTGTGGGGTGCCGATTATGCTAAGCTGGTTTTGCAGTTCTTCTTGTCCTTGAGATGGCCAGATCCTGATCATGAACATGATGCAGTTACACGGTCAGGTATTACATGGCATGAACTAGCTATTGCTTTCATACTACAGACAGGAATGCAGTTCCCGTGTTGGATTAAGCCACCCAATCGATCTCGGGCCAGACCTCATCATTTTAGGGATCCCCAAGTCCTGGCACTCCCAACCAAATTGCGCTCACTTCGGGAACAGGCAGATGCAATTCGCATTATCATTCAATATCTCCAAGGGTTTTGCCATACCCGTCTTTACCCAAAGTTTCATAAAACAGCGGCAAGCAGTCTTGTACAGGTAGGTTGGGGTAGGACGTATACTGGTGGGTTCCCGTTGCGTCCACAATTCAGTAATTCAGAAGCTACTCAAAAAACGCTGCAACAATATGCTAAGGACCTGGGTATCAAACCACCTTATCATCCGTTAGGGATGGTTCCGATGCAGTTATGTCATGTGATCCTGACGGTTGAGACAACCATCAATCTTGACTACTCCCAATGCTACCATTTCCGTAAGAAGCTTCGGGAGGTGTGGAATAAAGGTGGCAATCTGGATTCCTTGAGTCCGCCGATGCCCAATAATTAGTTCTTAATTAGGAATCTCGTCTTGACGCGTTTCTCACTTGGTTTGGCGCGGATATTCGGTCTCACTTAGCTAGGAGCATCGTGTTTGTGATGTATTGCAGTTTTTGGTTTGCAGGGGTACCCATCCCATGCACCGTGGATATTTCACCAACTCTCGGGTACCCATCAATACGATGAAGGGCCGCGAGAAGCGTTCTGGATTGATGCGCAAGTTTCGTCGGTAGGTTAACCAAAGCCCTTGGGTTCAAGCCTACTCGGGGCGGGGCCGTTGCCGTGAGTGCCACAGAGCACTCACGGTGCCGATTGGGCCATGATACCTTTTGTGTCCCATGGTATTGCGGAGTCATCAACATGGAAGAGAGTTGAGCATGAGCCCATTACGATCCATCGAACCATCTTTCGGCACCGATGCTTCT